CCCATTCCTTTCCTGAATCCCGTTTGATTATCGGGGATCAATTTCTTCGTTTCTACTTCTTCTCTTATTCTTTCCGCCAGTACCGCCGTGTAGATTTTGTACATCGAAGACATGATGGTTATTCCTCTATAGTCCTTCACCTCTCGCCCTTCTCCTTTTTTAACTAGTGGGATTATCTCCCCTTCCTTCCATTGTTCCGGCCAGCCTTCACCTCTCCAGACACGTTTGCATACCTCCCATATCCATTTCACCATTTCTTCTCCTCCGTACTTCCATGCCTCGTTAGGTATCCCGTCATTGCCTATTGCTTTTCCCGTCTTTAGTTTCTTTATTACGTTTCTTATCTCTTCTAATCCTATCTCTTTTTCCTCCTGTCTGCTTCTGTCTCCCTCTCCCTTTACCACTCTGTTCTCCACTCCACCCATCAAATCCATGAAATACTCCTTCCACTCTTCCGGTTTTATCTCTTCATTCACCCTTCTTCTTCTCTTCCTTACTCTGCCTATCAACTCCCATACCTTTCCCTCCGTTTTCGCTTCTCCAATCTCTCTGATCATTCTTTCTTTCTCCTCCTTCTTCTTTCTATCACACATTTCCCTATATTCTTTCCTTCTTTCTCTGTATCTTTCTGCCTTTCCTTTCCCTTTTCTCCATTTCCTTAGTTCTTTCCTCACTTCCCTCTTGCTCTCCGTACATTCCTCGTCCCACCACCCTTTTTGTTCTTGATAGTCATTCTTTCATTCTTGTCCTCGTTCTCCTCAATCATCCTTCTTATCTTCCTTGTTCCTTCCTCTATTTCTTCTTGCAGGTCTCTTTTTCCTTCAATCGCGCCTAACTTCTCCCTAAATTGCGTCTTTTCTTCCTCATTCCATACTTCCCTTCTTCTCATTTTTTCAGTTCCTCTCCTACTTTGCCTTCTCTTTGAGCTTCCCCTCACCCATAGTATTAATGGGTGATGGTCCGAATCTATCCTTTCTCCTACTTCCAGTCTTTCCACCTTTTCTCTAACCTCCTCGTCCCCTATTATGTAATCTATGACTGTCTCACCTTTTCCCCCTGTGTATGTATATTCTCCCTCCTCGTCCCCCTTCGTGCCTCTATTTAATATCATACATCCTCTCTCCTCGATAAACTCCAGTAACTTTCTGCCTTCTTTATTTATCTTCTTATCTTTAGACTTCCTCCCTCTTTCCTCTCTTCGCTCGATTTCCTCTTCCCATCCTCCTTCCTCTCCCGTTCTCGCGTTAAAGTCACCTCCTATTATGGTCCTTACTCCTTTTTCCCCCTCCTCCGTCCTTTCCTTCAGACCTTCTAGTTTCTCGTCTATATTGTTGTTTACATAGATTCCTATTATTCTCCATACTTCCTCTCCTATTCTTATCTTACCTTCGATTTTTCCTTCTTCCTCCGTCTCCCTTCTTTCCTTTATCTCTTCTATGCTTTTCCTTATTCCTAGCAACATGCCTCCGCACGCTCTGCCTTTCTTGTTCCTCCTGGCTGCTATCTGTACTCTCCATCTATATTCTCTCGGTAGCTTCTCCTTTACCTTCTCCCATCCTTTCTCATCAGTCCAAGTCTCCATCATCACAATCACATCCCATTCCTTTATCCCTTCCCAGAAGTCCTTATCCTTGTTTGATAAACCAGCTACGTTCCAAAAGGCCACTTTCCACGTCTCTTCACTCTCCCCGTCGTTTCTTTCCTCTTCTCCTATATATCTTTTCTCTTGTCCCTCGACTTCCCTTATACCGTTTCCTCTAATATTTTCCTCATCTACCTCCTTTATACTTTCTTCGTCCTTTCTGGTTTCTTCTGGTGTGTTCCGCCTTTCTTCTATCTCCTTGGACCTTTCCTGTCTTCTTTCTTGTATTTCTTCCCTCCTTCTCTCGTTCATCATGCTTAACCCTTCTTTATCCTTCTTCTTTTCTTTCTTATCTGCGAAAGTGATCCCTTTCTTCTAGCGCTTCTTTGTTTTCGTTCCATCTCCATTCCTTATTATCCTCCCATATTTTTTGGTAACCGACCGTTACCCATTTTCCTGCCTCCCTTTTTTCCTTTGCTATCTTTCTTAACTCTTTCTGTATCTGCCTTTCTTCTTTAGTAATGTCGTCATTCAGAAAACAGCCATACTTCTTTCCTAGCTCTTTCTTTCTCATCATTATCTCTCGTTTGTTATCCCAATTTCTGCATCTCAGTACCTTCATCTTAAATTCTCCATGTCCAATTTCTTGTACTTCCTCGACGGCCATTTTCGATCTATTTATTTCTTCTATCAACTTCTCGGTTTTTTCTTTTCTTTCCTTTTCATTTCCTGTTTTCTCTTTTCTTACAATTATGTTTACTCTCCTCCTTCTTCTTTCTGCCATCTCCATATTTCTTTCTATCTCTTTCATTTTCCTTATTATCTCCCCTCCCTCACTCATTGACATGTTTACTTCTATCTTCTCCGCCTTCTCCTCTAAATTCTTAATTCTTCCTTCCAGGGTCTTTCTTTGATTTTCCCATATCTCCTCGCTTCTCCTCAATTCCTCCCTCAGTCCCTTAATTTCATTTTTTATTTCCTCTTTATCTTTTTTTCTTTCTTTCTCTTGTTTCTCCTTATCTTTCTTCCTTTCTCCCTCTTGTTCCTCCATTTTCTTCAAATTTTCTTTAACCTTCTCTAGTAATTCTTCCGTCGCCATATTTTCTTTTCCCTGCTTTTCTTTTTTGATTTTGGGCGGCGGTGATCTGTTGACCCTTCTTTGTGCGTTAAATTCTTTTAGAATTTCTTCCTCCGCATTCGCTGCTTCCTCCACCTCTTCTTCCCTCTTCCTTTTCTCACTTTTCTGAAAGAATTCCTTGACCGATCCTGTACTGTCCGTTTTTCTTAATTTGGCCAACTTCTCCGCCTTCGTTGGTCTGCCTCTCGCTTTCTTCTCGCCTTCGCCTTCACCCTTCTTTCCTTTATCTCCCTGTTGTACACTTTCTGATTCTATTTCCTTCTCTTTATCCATCCGCTGTTCTTGATTTGCCTATCCCTCTTTCTTGTTTTGTATCCTATGGCTGCGTGCACGTCCTACTATTCCTTCTATATCCGAGCTTCCCTTCTATGACTGAGCTAGTCTATGCCCGCTTTCGCGCCTCTTTCCTACGTTCTGTCGCCTCTCTATGTTACTTACCGTCTATGCCTCAACTGTCACTTCGTTCCAGCCACTTTCTTCACTTTTCACCTTTTAACCGATCTCGCCCCCGCTTAACTCTTTCTCCTCCGCCGTCTCACACCTCCATCCCTTGCCGTCCCGCTACTCTCACTCTCTCCCACCCTTTCTGTGTCGCACTTTTCTATCACTTTATCTCCGTTATGTTCACACCTGTCACCTTCTATGTTCCGGAACCGGAAGTCCCCCTATATGTATATAATATTAATAATTATTTTATTATATAAATTTATTTGTCGATGTCAGATCGACATTGATTCGACGTCGAGTCAATTAACTATAATCAGTCAAAAAGTTCATCGATCAACAGTTTCGACGTCGAAGACGTCGTAACTTTAACTCTCCAAAAGAATATCATACAATTGTGTTACCTTACTCAATCCAAGTGATATGTAAAAATTAATACAAAATTAAACATTTATTTAAAAGAAATGAAAATTTAAAATTTAAAATTTAAAAAATTTTTAGTTAAAAAAAACTTGGCGTTGCTGCAGGATTTTTAAATTGTAACTGTATAATTGTATTCTCCTCAACATCGACGTGATCCAACTCGTAGGAGTTCTTGGCGTATATATGTATGTATGTATGTATGTATGTATATATATATATATATATATATATATATATATATATAATATAATGTTCTGTCTGTGCATATGCTGCAATGACGAAATAGTTATTTGTGTAACAAGTGAGGTACACACGGCTTACACTCCCTATTTTATGTTGCAAGTGCCTGGAAAGTGGTCTATCACGCACGCGTAGCGTGCGTAATGGGGCCCTTTCCATGCTCGTGTTGCATAAAGATGATTTCTCAAAATCCACATGCCATGCTTGAAAATTTTCTGGAAGTATAGTAAAAAGTTCTCATAATTATATTATTCACAAATGTGTGTCCCCTAATATATGTTACTTTAATGCTAATTTTATTTACAATTATAAATAGCCAATTCTCATTATCATATTTTAATTTATACTTATTTAGTATACGTATAAGCATATTATATATTTTTCAGTCTGTAAAAATTCTGTTTATTGAACATCGTATTGTGGTAATTAATTTCGCAGTGGAATTGCTTTTTAAATAATACAATCGGAAAACTCTATCGCAACTTGAAATCTCTCAAATGAGATTAGCACATTTGAATTTGCTGCGTTGCCGTTCATACGTTCGCTATATACGGCAGCCAATCATCTGTCGCTACGTTTTGTTACGAAAGATTAGCAGATTTGCCATCGCGTCGCTTTTGTCATCATGCGCACGCGTCATGCGATAAATACTAACCTATTTGCAACGGTATCGCTTCCCGCCCATTCTCGATTCTCGCCATCCAACGTACATACGTCTAAACGGCCTTTGTGAGAGCATTATATATATATATATTTCATCGAAAATATCGAGATGGATACAGAAAAACCAGTAAGTAAAGCTGTGTATATATGACTTTTTATTGTATTCTATTTAACTTTTGTTCGTGTTCCCTTATAAAAATTTAATACTGTAAATGATTATTTAGCTAGTACTTAATTATTTATTTTGAGTATTAAAATAATTAAAAACAGTACTTTTAATACTCGAAATAAGTAATTAATCACTAGCCAAATAATCACTTACAGTATTAAATTTCTGTAAGGGTTCTATATTTAAGTAATAATTAAGGTTAAATTCAAGTATTGCATAAGGCTTCTTTAAAGGATGATTCATGCATTTCATGATCTAGACCAGGCATGGTCAACCTCCAGCTTCCGACTGCAAAGTCACAACCATGGTGGAAGGAAATAAGGTGAGGCAATGCGCATCATGAGTTTCACAGCCAATAGAAAACGCCGCACAGTTGTCGGCCATTACTAACGGTCATTCAAACAAATTGAAATGGATAGGAAAATCTCTCAGTCATAATTACTGAAAAATTATTAATTTTTCATAACAAATGGAAATAATATCACGAAAACGAGCTTCCATAAAGGAAACCATATTTTTCTATGGCATAAATTTTGGAGGAAACAGATTTTTTTACCGATAACAAGTCATTTTGGAAAAATTATAAATCAAACTTATGAAAAAAAGACTATCGACGAGTAATAAGCGTTCGTAATTGATGAATAAAATCGAAACTATGCTAGTTAACAAGTATTATTGCTAATGAATATAAATCATGTCACAAAAGATAGTTTCAGAAATGGTCAGTGGTGTAGCGGCAAGTATTCTGCTTTGTATATTTTTGACTCGGGTTTGAATCCCCACTGTACCTTTTTTTATTGACCCAGTTGCAATTAATGATAATGAATCAGGCTGATTGAAGAAAATTAATTAGAAAACGATTATTATCACTCACCGATTTACCTTTTTTTTAAATATCTTCAGAATTTATTTGGCTATGTCATTGACTAGAATCAGGATGTTTTATTGAAAATTGTGATTTATAGCAATAAAGTTGTTAAAAAAAGGATGAAATTTTATAACTGGCGGCGTTTCTTTGGGCTTTCACTCAACAATTCTCTCCACTACCAATTTTCAAAAATTTTTAATAATAAAAAATGTTGAATGTTATTATTGAAAGATGAATGTGGCGGCTGCAAGCGCCCCGAATCTGGCGGCGCAACCGCCACAACACAAGCACGCCCCGCGCCTGCCAGACGGCAGCCCGTCATACACACCCCGACCGGCAAGAGCACCGGCGGCACGGCGAACGGCCGCACGCAACGAGCACGTGCAATCAGCATGCCGTCGAAGATGATAACAAGTACGCTCCGCTAGGCGGCTGCCCTTTCTCGTAAGAGAAATTCGGCGACCAGGATATATAAGGACCGGCAAGCGACGATACCTTCGACTATCTTCGCACAGCTATACTCCGGTATCAGCCACGAAAAGGAAGTCTTTTGAGAACGCTGCGCAAGTGGAATCGCACCAAGCCGCCAACTTCCCGCTCATCGCTGCCGACACATCAGCCCGTGCAGTCTCTCCGAGCCTTGAGCACCAGGCCACGCAGACCGAGGATCTGGACTTAGCCGATCAAGGGACCTACACACCGCCCGGCACACCGCCGGCGTGGAGGAAGCCCGGAGCGTGGGGAACTCGCCAGCCACTCCACCGCACGAAGACGCAGCCGTGCCTGGTTTGGGGTGAACGTTTGCCGTTCCACTAAGGCGAAACCAACCGGCCCTTTTCAGGGCCACATTACACAAACGGCCTTTCTCAGGGCCCCCAAATATCTCCAACGAACCTCGCCATCTCGCATAAATTTTGGCCTACCGCCATAATAAATAAATATTTTTCCGAAATCTAATGCCAAAAATGTAGAATACCTTAAAAAAAAAAAAAACTGAAAATTGGTCCTACAAAAGATGAATCCTCTCTTGATATTTTATTCTAAATCACCTGTTTATGGGAAAAATATATAAAAATTAGAAAACAATGAAAGTGGATAGGGACGTCATTCGAAGTTCTATGGAAAAAAAACATTAATTGCTAGTTAACAGTTTTATTACACATTTTCTTAATTTTTTTTTCTTTTCTACTTTTTTTAGCTGTTTTCTTAAACCTATTTTCTTCTCGAATTTGCATGTTCTGTTCAGAATCTAGCATTTATTCGAATTGAGAGTAAGGACGAGCGGAGCTACCTGGGGTAAAACAGAGCCATGAGCAGAGAGAAATCTATAGATAGATTTATTTGTTATCAACCTCCCGTAAGCGCGCTATCTATCGGGCAGCGTTTCTGTTGTTGTCGCGCTGCAAGGCATCCGTCCAATTTAACGCATGCGTCGTGTTTCTTTCTATATTTGTGCGCAACGCTGACGCGCAGGCGTTCCCTGATTTTACCGCGCAAACAACGACGATCTCATCGTCACTTCTTTTCGGACGCTCAACGAGTGAGCATGTTAGTTATTGCTTTGATATTGCGTAGATACGCTACTTTCTATAATCGTAAAATCCGTAATATTCCGGCTTCTGAGGAAGCAGAGCTGTTATATACAGCTACATCATTATTTGGGAAAGACGAAACCTTGTCTCTGGACTTTCTGACTGCTGAAAAGGAAACAAGGGAATTCCGATAGTAAAGACGAGGGCGGCCATTAATCCCGAGATATATTTTTGGAAGGACGAGAATCCCTGGCGTCGTCTTTGTACTTGATAAGTATACTTCTGATGAGAGAATTCCAGTTATTTTATTCTGGAACAAGCCTAATTTTGGCTAATTTCAAGGTAACCTTATCATTTTATTTGGTAAAACCGTTCTTGGGTTGACATTATATTCAGGCTTTACACAGCCTAATCCTCGGATATTGGTTACTGAGAATATCGTGAGATTTTCACGATTCCATTTTGTGGCGCGCATAAAGTAATACAATTGTGGCGCGCATAAATTAATACGATCGAAAGGCCTTTTCTCGAGAGCTCAGTTCCTTCGTGAACTTTCCAGAAGACGAATAGTATAAGGCTATTCGTGCTTCTATCCGTATAACACATAGGCTGCATTCGAGGAGCGCGCTATTAGCGCTATTGCATCATTCTGTCTTTATCGCTCATCAGGTGTAAAACAAGGATAGAACAAGCAAATAGCGCTAATAGCGCGCTCCCCGAATCCAGCCATAGCGTGTTCGGCGCATGACAACGGAATATCTGAGGCGTGAAACATCGCGTGATTTGAGCGTGATATACCGTGTTAAACTAGTACGACATTGCGTATCCTAAGCATAATACATAGCGTGTACTAAACGTAACTAAAGTCAATATAGATATTATTATCGGATGATACAAATAGTAAATACTGTCGAAATTCTCAGTTCGAGAAACT